AAAAAAAAAAAGGACCCCCCCCCCCCCCCCCCCCCCCAAAAGAAAAACAAAAACAAGAAGCCCCATGAGCACTATTTGCAGTGGGGGTGGTTTCACCTGCTCCTGGTGTAACTTAGCTCCTGATGTGTTTATTTTTTGGTATTGAAAGAGAGAAACGCACCAGATTTCACTGCAGCTGACGAAATTTGACAGCTCCCTGCATCTTTCTGCATTATTTAAATGTCATCTGTTTTTGTACAGTTAGAAACCTTCTGAAAGATCCTGTGTGGTTTCCCAAGGGGAGGAAATTATTAAAGCATTCTTGACTATAACAGGTTTTTCTTTCCTATAAAGGAAAGGTGTGTCATAAGTGGGAGAAAAGAAGAATAAAAAAAGGTTCTCATTACAGATAATTTCTCTGAACGAGAACTTTGTTATAAATGGGTTTGAAAATGAAAAGTGTATAATGCAGGCAGTTTAGAGTTTCAAAAGCTTGGTAAAGACAAAAGGAGGAGATGAAAGAGAAAGGTTTGCAGTAGAAAGTTGATGGCAAAACAGCCTTTTGTGGCCAAAGTATGGCCTGGAGACTGAGCACAGAGCTCTGCAAAGTGACTGCAGCCCTTCCCACATTGAGGCATTGTCCTGAAGAACAAGTGTTATGTCCACACAGTGCAAGGCACGGTACTCTGTTACTGAGAGTATCAGACATGGCTGAGAAGAAGGGACATTAGCCCAGGGGCAGCACTGCACTAATGCAGCTATACTGCATCCAGTTCCAGAACAGTGCAGCCACAGCTAGGTCAGATGTGTCTGCATGACGCTGCCCCGTGCTGCGCAGACTCTGGTACATGAGCTAGAACGCTCATGGCTAGCTTGAGATCTCTCTGCACAGCAAGCACTGCGCTATGGTGGGCAGACGAGCCCCAAATGACTGCAGTGTGCTATGCAACAAGCAGGTATCCATCACATCCTGTGAGCTGGCATGCCTTATTAAAAAGACATGAGCAACTTCAGTCTGCTCTATGAAACTGGTTGCACCTTTAGGTCTCTTGGCAATAAACACCTTGGGGAGAGGATTATTTTTATCAGCATCTTACATGGTTAGTGCTAAACAACACAATGTATGAAGGCACCCAGCTGGCTGCATAAGGCAGAGGTGAACCCTAGTAGTTAAGGCAGACATATATGCAACAGAAAGGCAGAGTGGCTGGCGAGGTCTCTGTGCCTGTGCCCACCTCTTCTTCAGGGCAAGAATCTCCGTGGGCTCTGGCTCAAGGATCTCGTAGGCCAAGTTAACATCTTCCGTCTCCCGCAGCAGTGCATAGATGGGCTCAATCTGCTCGTTAAACCTCGCCACGAGGGTTCTCGCATCCTTTTTGGGCATCGCCGACTCGTCCTCCTCCACCTCGGTCTGACAGAATGTACAGCGGAAAGTTCCTAAACAGAAAACAAGTTGCTAAGAGCTGGGAGGAAAGCAACAGGCCCAGCTCCTCAGACAGTGTTTTAAACAGAAATAGCATGCTGTTCTTGGAGTCTGACACCAAATAGCTTTTCTCCCTATGACAATTCCCTTCCCACACATCACGCACTTGACTATTATTTTGCCCAGATAACAAAGCAAGCACTTCAGTGTCATCCAGTGATACCTAGCACAGGGTATGGTTTCTCCCTCCATGCAACCCCGCAGGTGGAGGCCCCGCTGCTCAGACATCTCCCAGTCTCACACCTCCATCTCCTTGTCACACATTTTTAATTTAGCCTACAATTGCATGGCAAGAAACAATTTCACAGGCTATTTTTGGATGCTTGAACGTTTCCCATTTTAGGAGCCTGCAGTGTCTGTTTGAGAACGTGGCGTTACCTCTTTCTCTAAAATCTTGGGGTTGGGAGATGCTCCTTCTATACTACTGAAGACTTCAGCACTCATGCTGCTAAAACCACAACACACACCCCTCTCTCTTTTGGTACTCGTGGCTTTCTCCAGGAATTTTCTAAGCTTGGCCTCCAACCAAACACAGGAAATTTCCAAACGGAGAAGAGGGA